GGGCAGCCTCCAGCCAACAGCCAGTGAGAAGCAGTCAGGACAGAAGGAAATGGGAGTTCTGCCCGCAACCTGAGGAGGTTTGGAAGTGGCTCCTTCCCCAGCTGAGCCTCCAGGGGAACAAGTAGCCTGTCTGCACTTTGGCTGCGGCCTTGTCAGACCCTGAGCAGGGCACCCGGCTCAGCCACGTCCAGACCCCTGGCCCAGAAAACTGTGAGTTGATAAAGGGGTGTTGCTTTAAGGTATTTAGGTTGTGGTGATTTGTTCTGGAATGAAGGAAACTGAGTGCGACTTCCAAGGTTCCTTGGGGTGCCGCCCTAGGAAACAGCTGGGAAGCAGGAGGGGGCGAGGAGGGCTGCAGCCGGTGTCGGCGGGTGACTTTAAGCCCGGCGCGGTACGACCACTCTGGATGGCCCCGGATTTACTACCTACGGCAGTAAAACTGTGTTAAATGACCACACATAAGGGAGTCAGTCCCCCTCTTGAGAGAGGCAGGCAGGCCAACCTGTGTTTAGTGGCATATTGTCCCCGTTTCTTCCCCGCCAAGCCCGCGTGGACAATCCCTACTCAGAAAGCATGTGATTTTGGCTTTGGAAATTACAGAAGCTGTGGGCCCTTCATCAAGGGCTTTCTTTGCTTGGTTCCTGCCAGCTGGGTGGGAGCAAGGACCACGACACCTACTGAATTTTATGTATTCGGCGGAGAGGAAGGAGCCTTGAGACTCATGACATTTCAGGACTCGTCCTCTGTGACATCCGCCCCGAAGGGAAGGCAAGAAATAGGGCAAGACGCATTTTTCATTAGTGAGAGAAGTTTTATTGGGGTGGATGCAAGCCGTGCAGAACGAAAACATTGTTTCCACATTCTCTACAGACAGGGGCAGCCTTGGATCCCCCTTAAAGGGAAGTCAGAATGCAGAACTTGGACGGGTGACTTGTGGAAATCGAAAACGTCCTAGCGAGAACCACCGAACCTCAGAGCTTTCAAGACTCTTGTCCTTTTCTTAAGGGTCATTTTCTAACACAGTGATCTGCTGTCATCCTTTGATCTTTGTGGAAGAGCTAGCAATCGTCCTTCCCGAATGACACAGCAGAAAAGAACCCATGTATTTTTCTTTAAAAGTTTGTGAAGATGTTTAGTCATTCGAAAGAATTTAAAGTACGCCTCGAGTACCTCTCCACAGAACTCCATGAGCCTGTAACAGTGGTGCTTTCAAAAAAAGCCGACTTGTTAAAGAGGAACGGGTGGCATCAGATTTTGTAGGGAACACTCATGACCCTATCGTATTCTACAAGGCTTTTCCTCCTCTGGGGGCGGGGGGGGGGGCAGGGGAAAGCACTCACGGCATGAGAAACTATATTAACGCTCAAGAACTTGAGGAACAATCACAGATCAAACCACATTTTAAGTGACTAAGTGTTTTTGCAGCTAAGAAGAGAGCCCCCAAACAATACATTTCATTTCAAGCAGGCGAACAAACCAAGGGTGAATTAACATCTATTATGCTCCACAAAGGACACACTATCCTCTTTGCCAGTCCTTTTTCAGGGCTTCACATTACTTGTGAAAAATAGGGCCCCGGCCAACGATTGTCCCGAAGGGCCATTTCATCTCTGCGCCCTCATCTGAAACCCCAATCAACGCTAACTGCACATTTCAATCATCGTTCCTTTTCAAGAGGCTGTTCTGGGAAATGACGGAGATTGGGAGCATCAAAACTTCAATTTCACTAATCACGGCAGGGCAACGCTGCACTTGGACTGAACTTGGGAGAGCGGCCACAAGAAGCAGCTAAGAACCGTCACTGCTTATTTGTGGGGCTGTAGTCATTTTACACAAACATTCCCCTCTCCACAGAAGGCTGAGGGGGTGTCCCCTCTCCTTTCCTGTAGAGGACTGTGTGCCTTTTCGAATCAAATCCCAGCTGCCAACAAACTCGAGTTCTCATAACTGTGTGTGTGTTCAGCAAATATTTACAGAATGGCGATTACAGGCCAGCCGCTGGTTTAGCTCACATCACGAGATCAACAACACCCATCCTCGTAGATATTCTATTGACCCGGGACTGACAATAAGCAAAATAAACCAATATGAACACATTTTAAAAAAGTGTGCAACACTCCGGCCGTGGGAGCGTCTGCCCGGCCATCTCCCGACCTTGGCTCATTCTTGGATAGGACACAGGCTCGGCTTCTACAGACGAAGCACGACCATGCAGTGAGACAGCCCACGCAGCTGGAAGTTTCTAGCGTTTTCACAGCACAAAATAGGACAAAGCACCGTCCAAGTGTTAGGCTCACCGGCTATCCATGCTGGAGAGGCTGAACAGGGTCAGTGGCAGCGGCCCACTGACCCCCGGCCACTGTCATCCACCCGCCCTCTTAACTGGCTGTTCACCCGGACTCTGAATAATGAGACCCACTCCTCAGAAGGTACAGCCCACTCAGAAGTGTGCAAACACAATTTCGCTACGTGGACACAGAGCAGACGTTGCTGGAAGCAGCTCTCTGGGAGGCCAAAGGGGCCTCCGTTGTGCGCCGGGAGGACTGGTCTGCCCCTCGCCGTGTGCGCGCCCGAGGACGGTCCCTGGAGGTGCATTTAGTGTTGTGTGCACGTCACAACAGAGGGTCTGTGCCTTTCGGGGTTTGTCACTTCCCGGAAGTTTGCAGAAGGTCTACACTGGAAGTCTCTGCCTGTTCTGGGGGAAAAGCAAACAGGTGGCTGGATGCTGCTCCCAGGACGATCGGTTCCAGTCCCAGCTGGTGCCTTTCTAAGAAGATGCGAGCTGGAAACAAAGTCAGTAGCCCTGGGGTACCCAGTTAGGATCCGTCAGTCCCTTTGTAGAAAGCAAGGAGTGACTCTTTACCCTCCGGAAAGGGAACCCTCAGAAGTCGTCCTTTAAGCCAGCAACTCCCAGGGGATGGAAGAGTTCACTTTCCTGGTAACGCTTTTCCCCACACCGGACTGTAGGGCCAGGCATCCACCTTGGCCTCTTAGCTCTACAGCGGTCATTCATGGGTAACTCCATGGCCACCGCAGGCTTGCCTCCCCTCTTCCCTGCAGAAGGCCAGTGGAGAAGGGCCACTGGTAACGAGCAGAAGGCCAGTGGAGCTCTTCCTGTGCAAAACCACTCTGTTAGTGTTCTATCCCAGCTTCACACCACAGGACCAGTGGCTGAAGAGCCTCTGGGAAAAACCAGAACTGGACTCTCAAGACCACAAGCTCCAGGAGACAGGAAAACAAGATGGCGTCTCCCGAGAACACAGAACAGTTGCTGGTAGCTTTCTGGAAGGGCCTTTCCTGTGGCTACTCCTTTGTACCTGCCTCTGCCTTTGCTGCCTTTGACTAGGCTCTAAACTCCTCAAAGATGGGGAGCGGCCTTATTCGTCCTGTCCAACAGTCAGGGACGAGCATGAGGAGCCTGGGACATCAGGACCTCCTGGGGCTCAGCGTGTCGCAACAGCGACAAGGAAGAGCAGGCAAGGACTCCAGCCCCACCAACTGTGACAAAAGGGTTACATGGCACAGGACTTAAAGAATTGCTGGTTTCCTGAAAAAATGGATCTATTTTACCACCTCAGAATACAAATTAGGGGCTGTCTGTAGAGGAGATGAAGCTTTTGTGGGGAAAAGAAGTACATCCTAGAAAAATAGCTCAGAAATCTTTTTAAATTATAAAAAGAAGCCAGTGTGGGGAGCTGTGATGGAGCACTTGGACACAGTGATAGAAAAATGAAGGAAAGAGGACTATTTAAGTTCCTGTGATTTCTAAGTCACACGAACTCAAAGGTAATAAATAGCACATAATAATTTAAAGCATGAATGCATCCTTGAGACTCGCCGTCGGCTTTCCATCTCAGACCCCATCATAGAAGTGCAACTAAAATCCACTTCTGTGAATATTCTGAAAAGAGTACAATATTCTCAGAATGTTCTGAGTAGCTTATATAACTTTTGTTTTTCAAACACTAATTAGATTAAGTAAACAACTCTTCCTAGGAGCCAAATGTAAACTTTGAGGTTCCTGAGGATTACTCACTTTAGTAATGTGTTAATTTCCTAAGAATAAAAACCGGGAGATCCACAAACGGAATTTTAAAGGATTTTGTATAAAATGTAAACATAGTTTGGACCTATTTACATGGTTAGAACTGGGACAGGTTTTTATACACTCTGAATCGGCCTTAAATGTGTATGAAATGATGCTTGGGATATAGCTGTCTAACATTTATTCTTTCTCCATCAATGCTAGAACATCCTTCCCAAATGGCCTCTGTTCTGACATCACAGGGTTCTACATTAAAATGGATTTTTAAAAGATGTGCTTAAAATACAGATAAAATAAACCGCAAAGCTGGTCTGGTTCCAAGCACACCATATGGCCGATATCATTTATACGTTCTGACCGTAGTAAGTGAAATGTCCCTTTATTTTATTTTTTTAAGCATTCTGTGTTCTGTTCATTTGTTTATCATCCTGTTTCGAGTCTTTTGATAACAGAGGGAAGACCTGCACAGAACCCCTTGGAAAATGGATTGAAATAACCTGTTCTGTCTGCCCAGATCTCCCCACCAGGCTCTGTGACAAGCATCCTCTCCCATGCAGAAGTCACAGTTCAATGTCCTCGGGACTCTGCCTGGCTCACCACGTTTCCAGTGTGGAGTGCCATGATTTCGGTTTGCCGTGGCCGACGAGCAGTGGTGTGCACAGAGCCCTGGGGGACAGGAACCCACGCCAGCACTGTCCCCAGAGGAGGACTCTGCCAACAGCAAGTCTGTGGCTGGCTGGTGAGTGTTTCTCTTGTGCAGCGGTCGTTAGGGGCACATAGGAGGTTCCCAGTAAAGCTGTATCCTGACAGGTGTTATCATTATTTCATATAACAAATCCAAAAGACCTCCCGAAGTCCTTGCTGGTACTGAGTCTTACTGCACATCTTTCCAGAAAGGGGCTTCTTTGAGGCACAAACAGGGCTCCGAATCTTGCTCTGATGAGCCTTCCCTTCCAGGTGATGGACTCACATGTACACTTGCTGGGGCTGGCTCACCCCCATGGTGCTGCTCATTGGAAGTTCATGAACCATGCTCCTACAGCGTTCTGGGGGCCGTCATTTTCCTTAGGGACTCAGTAAGGCACACTCAGGAGCACCAGCGGGGAACCTGACAGCCGATACAAATCCCGTGTCACAGAGGGCCATGGACCTCAAGGTGAAGGGGAAAAAAAAAATCAGCAAGAAGAATCAAGAAGTCTCTGTCGAGCATTCGTCTCTCCGTTATTTACTTTAATATCACTGGGTGCGCTCGAATCTGTAAAAACAGAAAACATTTATGACAAAAAAGCAAGAACCGACAGCATGAATTACCTTCTCTTCTATCAATCTCGTGTTCTTTGCCTTACAAGGTTTTGCTTCTAAGCCACATTTCAGGGAACGGTGAAGTTAGGTCAGGGCTCCGGTTCAATCAACAAACTCTGTATCTTTTTTTTTTTTTTTTAGATTTTATTTATTTATTTGACAGACAGAGATCACAAGTAGGCAGAGAGGCAGGCAGAGAGAGGAGGAAGCAGGCCCACCGCCGAGCCGAGAGCCCGATGCGGGGCTCGATCCCAGGACCCTGAGATCATGACCCGAGCCGAAGGCAGAGGCTTAACCCACTGAGCCACCCAGGTGCCCCCAAACTCTGTATCTTTTGAGAGAGGTGGAGGACAATGGGCCGAGGCCCAGAAGTATCTGGACAAAGCCAGCAGCAAAGGACAAGCGTACGAGAGAAGGACAGCACGGACGGATGCCTGGGGCAGAGACTGTGAGAGCATGATCAAGAAGCAAGGACAGTCTGGAGAAAGCACACTTTCCTCTGGAGATCTGGGGCGGCACCGATTCTTCCCCTCTGTCTCCTAGTACTGAGGCACCCCAAGAGCTCCCCCTACCTTTGAGCTCCGTCATCGGGTCCCCCGGCTCCTCTGTCGTCATCTCCATGGGCTCCAGTTTCTTGCCATCCATGACATCCATCTTGATTGTGCCAAGGTTGGTCAGGAGGACCATCGGGTCGATGCCCTGGCCACTGCTTTTAATATTCTCCAGCACCTTCAGACACCTGTAGGACTTGAGCTCGCTTACATTCTCCTCCAAGAAGAGGTTGTAGAGACTCAGGTCGTTGTATGCCTCCGACTTGAAATGCAGGACATCGAAGGTGGGCAGAATCTCATACACCCTAAGAACATCTGTCTTCTGCCGGCACGGAACGAAGAGCGTGTAGATGACCACGGGGGCCAGTAGCACGTAAACCACGAGGTTGATGAGGCTGAGCAGCTGGAAGACGCCGACGGCGATGAGCTTGCACTGAAAGCGATCGGGGATGGTGCTGTCGTTCCTCAGGATCCCAGACTTGATGCTGCAGACAAACTCGTCGGACAGCGATGAGAGGCTGATGTAATAGCCCAGGTAGACGCTCGCTGACAGGACAATGGCGAGTGTCAGCAACCGGCAGCTGACGTACTTGATGGTCAAGTTCCTACAGTTCCTCTTTGTCTTCAGGTACTGCTCCACAATCGGGTACTTGAAGTGGCGCTCAGAGATCTCCCACAGGCTGCAAACAGTAACAACGAAGGAATAAAAAAAAAAATTTAAACCTTCGCAAAGAGCAGATATAGAAGATGTAAACGCGCAGGACAGTATCACGCTAAAAACCTCAAACCCCTTTCCTCCCTCCCTGATTCACCTATAACTTCGCTGGCGGATCAGGGAATATAATCGGGTCCAAGTAAGAAGACAAGCTACCACAGAACACTCTCCCCCTTAGTGTTTTAAAGAAGGTCTGGTTAAACAGGTTCCATTTGTAAATTCTTAAAATGCCGGGCATCTGGTAAACACTCCACATGGACCGTTCTTATTCTAGTGTTTCTAAATCTGATTTAGAACTTCTCAGGTGTGCACAATGAAGTAGACCTTCCCACCTAGGCGAGGCTGTCCCAGGGACAGCTCCGTGGGTGCGGGGCTCAGATTCGAGGCCGCCGGCCTAGGTGGGGTCCCAGCTCTCTTGCGGAGAGCTGGAAGCCAGTGTTTTTTATTTGTGGAAGAGGGAGGCAGAAAATCAACGCAGTTAGTTGTAATGTCCTTCTAAGGGTTGAGATAATGTACCCAGAGAAAACACAGTCTCTGGGATAGATAAAGTATTTTAAAAATGAGAGCTATTAACACAATTACCCTTGTTGACAACAGCAACCAGAGGAAGAATGTGAAAAGACCAGACGCTGCCTGCTCCTTTCCCCACTTCTCTCTCTCTGGTTCTCTAAGCTCAGCGGCCCCATAATCCTCCTCGCTTCTCCACTGGCGCCAGTGAGTAGCTGGTGCCATCCCGTTACCCAAGCCTTTCAGAACACGAGACGGCAGCATTCCCCTCAACAAGGGAAGGCATCTGGATGTGAGGACAGGTGCTGGCGCCGGGAGGTGGGATGAGACTGGGGGCCAGCAAGCCTTCCTGGCTCCCACAGTATGTCTGCAAGTGGATGACAACCCCCCCCTCATCTACTACAGTGGGAACCCTAAGCCCAGATGGGCAGGAGGACTGAGACCTCATACCCCAAAGCCCGCCAAGATACTTGCTGGGGGCTGAGTTACCTTTGCCCCATGTTCTCCTGAGGGCCTGGAACTGGGCTGGTACCATCCCTCACGTCCTGATCACACACGCTCTTTGCGGCTTGAATTGCGCGGTTGTAAACTTTGTCAAGTTCTTCCATGATGAACTTCAAATCTGAGCAAAGATGAGGGGCAGCTGCAAAACGCCAGAACAGGGAGGGCAGGTACAGGAGGATAGCCACCAGCAGCAGGATGTAGGGGAAAAACTGAAAAACAAGAGAGCCCGTCAGGGGACCCGCAGAGCCCTCACTTCTGGAACCTAAGGGTACAAGTGCTGCACGCCATTTTCTCCTTTGGAGACCAATGTGCATGCCCACATCAAGCACGGATGGAAATCAGGCTCATTCCCTTGTAACTAAGTCTAAACTCACCTGCCCAGGTAAGTAACATCACTTTTTTTTTTTTTTAATCCCCCTTCAACAGAGTTTGAAATAACTGGCAACTACACTAATCACAGAAGGAAACAAAAACCCAAAATGACTTCCATGTCCTTTAGAGTAATCCCTTAATAAAACCCCAGTTAAGGAACAGGTAAATGTCACAGTGGCCTCTGCTGGTTTTGGGGGGTTGTTTAATTTTCACTGCCAGGTTTTAGGAGGTCACTAATCTTAAAGCTCTCCCCCCTCCCCAATCTGGGAAAATGATGTGGAAATGCCAACTTCGCCCAAAACGGATGAGAAAAATCATGGCCTCAGTGATCCAGTAATCACACCGTCAAACAGGGGCATAAGCAGTTAAAATTCCCAGAATGCAGGATGGACCGTCTGTGCCGGGACAGAGCTGGGGACTGCCCAACACCCTCAGTGTGCACCTGAGCCATCTCAGGTCTAGACCAGCCAATCGCCATGGGCCACAGCCCCGCAGAGAGCATCTGGACATGGATATATGTGAGAAAGAAACATGGGGGGAGTCTGGAGTCCAGGAAAGCAAAGAGCTCCCAGGAACCAGGGCTATCAGGAAAGCCTAAGAGCAGGCAAAGGAAGACCACGAACTACAGTTAGCACAGATCTGAATTCAAGTCCGTCTTTGTGTCCTTGGGTGCTGAGGTCACTGAGCCTCTGACTCTCCGGCTCCCGATCTGTGAAACGGTCATGTAAGAGATGTATCATGAAGATTAAGTTAATTTGTGTCAACTGTTTAGCGTGCTGCCCAGGGTGTAAAATGCACAACACACCACCTAAAACCAACAGAAGGGCTTCCTCAGGGACACATCATACCCTTGGTCCTCACAACGACCCAGCCAAGGCCTTTACTGATGGCTTCCCTTCACCAAGGGGAAGAAGAAGCTCAGAATGGTTCCTGGCCACAGAGTGCAAAGCCAGAGCCAGGGACAGAACAGGAAGCCAGATCTTTCTGAACCCAGAGCCATGCCTTTTCCACAATATGCCATAGATTGTTTCACTTCTCTGGAAAACTTCTCCCCGTCTTTTGGACTGGTCTCTCCCGTCTCCTCAGAGGTGTAGCAGTGATGGCCTCGAGAGGACACAGATCTCCCAACCCATATGTCTGGGAGCAGGCAGCAGACCTAGCACTAGGCCTCTTGATATCAAGTCAGATGTACAGAAAAGTTGCAAAGACTGTACAGGGTGTTCTCGAATGACATGCATCTGGTGTTCCCACTGTCAACACTTTACATTTCCGTGATCCACTTGTCAAGATGAAGAAGCCATCATTAACTCAATTTCAGACTTGCACTTGGATTTCTCCAGCAGTCCCATCATTGCCTTCTTTCTGCTCAAAGATCTGTCTGTTGATTTAGTTGTCATGTCTCCCTCGTCTCCTTGGTTCTGTGATAGTTTCTCGGGTCTTTCCTTGTTTTTCATGCAAAATAGTATTTTTTCTAAAGATTTTAAGTAATCTCTACAGCCAACATAGGACTTGAACTCACAACCCCAAGATCAAGAGTCACACCCTCCACCGACAGCCTGCCAAGCGGCCCAAGAATAGTATCTTTAAATGTATAAAGTAAAACCTAAAAGTTCACCAAAGAAGTGGATAATTGAGTTACCACAACATCAAAAAACAAATTTATGTGTGTTTGACATATGGTCTGACACCAACTTGAAGAGGTAAAGGTCTCTGTGCCAGAATCACAGATACCACTGACATCAGAGATTATTGCCTGCACGATACGTATTTCTCGATGTTAAATTTTAGTTAGAGATGCATTAAAAAAAAAATTCAAGTTGTCACATTTTCCTCTCCAGGTTCACAGCTTCCCTGACACATTCCTAGAGGCTACATAGCACCGAGGTCGCCTCACCAATGCTTCCACCTCCATTTGGCGTTCTGGCCTGGGATGGGCTTTCCCCAAACCACGAACGCAGTTTGCAGGGACCCACTGCACTGTGACACGCACAACAGGCTGCGATCTGGTGAACTCTGGCCATGTCACTCAGAGCTGGCTGTGGTGAGAAGCTCATATTCTAAAGGACTCCCATTTGCACCGTGTGCAACTACGTCGGTGCCGTTCCCAGAACAGAGAGCCAGGCGTTTTCTTGGGGAGCTGCAGGGAGGAGGCTATTTCTAATTTGGGGCTGTGGGATACCTTTACAAGTCTCTTTTGTCTCAAAGTTATTTATTTGAATTGCAGAATTTTTACCTCTAGCTGTTCTGGATGAAAAAGTGACTGTTCACAGTCTGTGGCACTTTTTCCAATAGGCCCGTGCAGAGCAATAATTAGTACCGGTGACTAGATCGGCATAGCTCACGGTAATTGGAAAAACGAGTGTTCAAAGCTATTACACATTGGGTGTTTGCTTTCTCCTCGGATACCCTGTTACCTTGATCACCTCTGCAAGGAATGCAGCTGAATAACGCCCCATTTCTCAGTTGTCTGCACAGTTAATCCTCTTTCATCCAAAACAAAAATGTGACTTTCAGTGACTCAGCAACAAGGTGGAATTAAAATCAATTCAATTGAAACAGGAATCCAAAAAAACCATTAAAATCCTTTTGTCCACATACGGAACATAGGAAAATTGCCAAACTTTAGGAGTGCACCTGCGGGATGGGAATGGCTTTGCTCGTGAGCTCCATCTGCTCCACATGAGGTCTGAGACAACTCGGCATCTCTCAAAGTCATGGATGTCATGTAAGCACTGAGCTCTTCCGTGACGGCGAAGCTTCTCAAAGCCCAGTAGAGCCAAATGGCAGCACAATTTCCAGTCTGTTTGCCTTCAAAGTTTCTTCAAAGTGTTGTTTCTGGAAGGGGTTACAGTTTGGACAGCAGAACTCCCAGATGGAAGGAAGCCTGGAGGGGCTCTAGTACAACCTCCCTCCATATTCCAATCCCCTCTGCCTCGTGGAAGGTGAAGACGCGTCCACTTAGGCCCGAACAGCTCCTCCCTGAAATGTACGTGGTCACGGCCGATGGCACTAAATGCACAGGGGTAAATCCATTTCAAATCATCCGGGCTGGGGGGAACCTGGCTGGCTCAGACAGTGGAGCGTGCCACGCTTGATCCCGGGGTTAGGAGTCTGAGCCCCATGTGGGAATGGAGATTACTTAAAATAAAATCTTAGGGCACCTGGGTGGCTCAGTGGGTTAAAGCCTCTGCCTTCGGCTCAGGTCATGATCCCAGGGTCCTGGGATCGAGCCCCGCATTGGGCTTTCTGCTCAGCGGGGAGTCTGCTTCCCTTCTTCTCTCTCTGCCTGCCTCTCTGCCTACCTGTGATCTCTGTTTGTCAAATAAATTAATAAAGTCTTAAAAAAAATAAATAAAATCTTAAACAAAAAACCCATCTGGGCTGGCAGCTGAGCCAGGTAGGAATACCAGCTAATAATTAAATGATCAAAACATTAAAGCAACAGGCACTAAATATGTTGGCCCTTAAGTACTGAGCAACGAGAAGTGTCCTTGCGAAGGTCAAGGAAGGCTTTACAAAGAGATGACACCTGAGTAGGTCTTCAAGGACAGTGAGGCAACGAGAATATACAAGAATGCCGTTCATACATTAAGACTCCACTCATCTCCCCTTTTTTGTGGCCTTTTGGACACACTCTTTCCGCTACATGGAATTCTCTCTCCTTTTCCGCCCAGTGAATTCCTACCCATCCAGGGCACCAAAGCAAACAAGCAAGCCCAGGATGAGGACACAGTAAGAGCAGAGGCTGGAAAGACGCACTGGGTTGAAGGGTGCCCCCTCCCCCGCCAAAGCATACACCCAAAACCTCAGAACATGACCTTGTTGGGAAATAAGCCAGCTTGCCGGTCACCACCAGAAACGAGAAGAGAGGCACACAGTTCTCTCCCTGAGCCCCCAAGAAGGAACCCGCCATGCTGACACCTTCATTTCCAATTCCTGGCCTCCAAAAATAGGAGCAAATGAATTTGTTGTGCCAAGCCATAAAGGGGGTGGTGGTGATTTGTTACAGCGGCCCTAGGAGCTCATTTCAGGCGGAAGCAGGAACTAAATTCCGAAGCCCTTGGCTTCCCACATTACAGGTGGTGGGAAGTCACCGGTGCAGAGCGTGGTGAAAACCTCCTTGAGAGATTCTTACAAGCTGTGGAGAAGGGAACCCACTGGAGAGGAGGGAGACAAGGCAGGAGGTCATGACGGCAGAGCTGTGGGGAGGGCTATGCACTGGACTGAGGCAGCAGCGGTGGGGAGAAGGGGGGAGAGCGAGGCAAGAGCCACAGACGACGAGAAGCAGACGCTGCAGTGCCTGTGTGGAAGGGATGGATGGAAAAGGGAAGAACAGAGGCTAATTCGGGGTTTCTAGCTTATGCAAGGGTGTGGGTAGTACCATTAGCTGAAGTGAAGAAACAAGGAACAGATTCCAAACAGAGGAGAGTGAGGTGGGAGGCGGACGGGAGATGACGAGAAATTGTAAATGTAAGACACCCATACTCAAGAACTCACATTCTAGCGGAGATGTGCCATAGGCAGCTGAAAATAGAGGGGGAAAATCCAGCTGATCTTACAGTTCAGGACTGTGTAGCACACAGAGATGGTCCGAGCCAAGAACGCCTGAGCTCATCCAAGGAGAATGCGTGGGAGGGATGAGGGATCCTGACGTGAGGGTAGGGCAAAAAGAGCACCCCAGGGGTGCCTGGGTGGCTCAGTCATTAAGTGTCTGCCTTCAGCTCAGGTCATGATCCCAGGGTCCTGGGATGGAGGAGAGCCTGCTTCTCCCTCTCCCTCTGCCTACTATTCTCCACTTGTGGTCACTCTCTCTCTGGCAGTCAAATAAAATCTTTAA